ATTTTTTCTGAATATTTTCCTTTCTCCAGCTCCATATCTTGACATGATATCTGGTAAATAATTCTCCTGGCCTCTTCGATATCTAAGTTCCAAATCAAAACTACCGATCAACACAACCATCTCTGCAATCTCGGCGACATCATTAACTCTTTATTGTCTTTCTTGAACAGATGTATCAAAGGCTTATGGTCTGTATAAACTACAAACCGACGTCCTATTCGATACTCCCGGCATTTTGTAAATCCAAAAATAACCGCCAGTGCCTCCTGTTTAATCACTGAATACCTTGTTTCGGCATCTCGAAATACTTGCGAAAAAAACAATACCGGTCTCTATTCCCTCCATCTCATGCAATAAGGCCCCTCCTACTCCTTTACTTGACGCATCCACTGCCATAATCACATCCAAATTATTGTTAAAAAACATCAAAATTGGTTCTTCCACAATCTTCCTCTTCAAACACTCGAACGCAACATCTTGATCCTCTCCCCCTCGAATCTCCCGTCTTTAACAATTTGTACAGCTGCGCTGTTATTTCTGCAAAATCTTTGACAAATCGATGGTAATAATTTACCATTCCCACAAAAGACTGTACCTCCGCCTTGCATCTCGGCCTTACCATACTTCCAATTCCAATCATATTTTTATCTAATGGTCTTACTTCTACTCCATTAATCCGATGTCCCAAATATACAACCTCCATTACTCCTAAGACACTCTTCTCTCTACTCGCCCTTAATCCCTTTTCCCGGATCCTCTGAAAAACTCCCCCCCCCCCCAATCTTCTATTGTGCTGCTCTGGCATAACCCCCGTTATTAGTACATCATCCATATAATAAAACACTCCCTCTAATCCCTGAAAAACTGCCGCCATCGTCCGTAGAAATATAGGCGCCGATACACTCAAACCAAACGATAACCTTCTAAAAGCGAACAGACCCTTTGGCGTTGTTCTAGTTAACAACCTTTGTCTCCTTTTTCACCCGTAATTGCAAATACGCGTTCGAAAAATCTAATTTCGAATAATATCTGCTCCCTTACAAATTGGCCAATATCTCCTCTATGCTGGGTAATGGATACTTCACCGATTCAACGTTACCCGATCCGCACACAACCTCAACTTCCCATTGGCCTTCTGGGACCAAAGGAGTAGCCCATTCGCTGTACTCCACCGGACTCACTATGCCTCCTTTACCCAACGATCCAACTCTTTCTCTACCTCCACTCAAAAGACACTCTACGCACAGCACAATATTTTGGTACACATCCCTCCTTCATCCGTATGTCCACTTCATAGTCCCTCAAACAACCCAACTCTTCGCCAAAAATCTCATCATACTCTTGGGCTTTTCGCTCTACTCCTTTTTCCACCAATTCCAACTCTCCCACAGACTCCGCTGGTCTATTTATTTCTCTTCCTTATTCTTGCAACTTCTCCCTTGTAATTCTCCATTTCCTACACCTCGCACTTGCGGTCCAACTACTTCCTTTCCCACCGGTGAACCTCCCATTTCCATATTCTTCAATATTTGACCTTCTCTCACTGCATCTACACGATCCCCCATTGTACCATTCACTTACTCCCCAAAATATGAATTCTCCCTCATTTACCTCTATATTGTCTCGGCCCTCCACACATTCATCATTTCTCTTGGAAATTTATCCATCCTCCTTGACCATCTTTATAATGTCTTCTTTGACGGCCAGAAATACTCCCCAAAAATCATATTCCAGTCCAACACTCGTAATCCGGTCCCATCTTATCACTGGCTCTACTCTTCTATCAATTATCCACAAATCCAACACTTTGCATCCGTCACTCCCTACATCGCTTATTTGCACTCTTCCCATCATCTCCATTTCAGATCCATCAAACTGCCTCACTTGAATCCTCTCTCTAATTATTTTACTATTCGGCCACAGTCTATCCCACTACCGAAATAGCCGATCCTGTATCAAAAAACATAGATATCATTTTTCCATTTATATTAAAGCACACTTTCGGACTCAGAAGATATACTTGTTCCCCTTTACCCTCTTCCCACAACATCTTCACAACCATTTCTTGCCTTTCCGTTCTCAACTCCTCGGCCGGAATTCTCTTTTCCTCACAACCATATAGTCATCCCCTATCGCAATCTCTCGCCCAATGTCCTTCTTCTCGGCACTTGAAACATATAATTTTGCATTCGGCCCCCATTTCTCCTTTTACTGATACCTCGGACATACTCCTCACATTAATATTATTGGAATTCTCTCCCCTTTGTGTAAATCCTTCTCTGGTTTCTACCCTTCCAACTCTGCAATCATTTTCCGCATGCCCAAACCTTCCACATCCTGCGCATCGTAATCTATCTCTTTTATCCGGACAATACGTTGAAATGTGACCCTTTTCTCCACATGCAAAATATTTGACATCTATGCAATTCACCGCAATATGTCCTCTAACACCGCACTTAAAACAAACAATATTTTTATTCCTCGATTCCGCTCTAAACAACCTTGATGATTCTCCACGACCTCGATACATCTCCATTCTTCTATCTTCACCTCCTTTCCCATCTTCAAATCTTCATTACTCGCCCATCCGCATCATCTCCTGTACAGGCAACCACGTTACTCTTCCATATCTATCCTCTTCCCCATTGTGTCCTTCAATCAACAGCGTCTGTCTACGTATCCTAATACTCCTGTTTCGGCGCTCCCTCCTTCCGAAGTATAGACTTCCCATCCAAATTAGCAACACTACCACCGCTCCCAGTATATTGTACTGTACTTACACATATTTCGTTATTTTAAAACTCTTCATTTACAATTTTCAAAATATTTAATTTCCAAAAAAAAATTTTATATCTAAATAATTTAATTTAATACAATATATTTAAAATATTTTGCAATATATTTATAAAAAATTTATAATTAACAAGAATATTTTCACAACTTGTAGCGTCAACAATAGGAAACAATTAGCAAAACTAACACAGAAATGATACAACAGTATATCACTATTCCCCACCTTTTCACTTCTCCCTATAACAATTGACGATTACTTGTTTTTAAATCTTTGCTACTACTTCCACTAATTGACGGTTTCTTCTTTTCAAATCTTTGCTACTACTTCTACTAATTGATAGTTACTCGTTTTCAATTCCTCGCTACTACTTCCACTAATTGACGGTCTCTTGTTTTTAATTCCTCGCTACTACTTTTACTAATTGATGGTTTGGTCACGGCACCAACTATCGCTGGCCGCTTAATACTCGATCAGCAAAACGAAAATAACTAAAAATGGAGACAAAATTTTATTTTCTATTTACAATTTTATAATCAAAAAAAATATCAATTAAAAAATTTACAATTTTGCTTCCCTTTTATAGGGAAGCGAATAATAATTAAAAAAAATAATTAAAAATTGACAATCTAAAAATATCTTCTTTTACAATTATAAAGCACCTACTCATGCCTCAATTTTTAAATTATAAGATAGAAATACATTTTTAGAAATTATAAATTATCGCATCATAATGACTTTACAATAATTAACTTTTATAAATCTAAAAATAAAATGTTAACGCGATAACTAAAACATAAAATTATAAAAATAAAAATGACTCACCAATTAAACTAAAACATAAAATTATAAAAATAAAAATGACTCAACGAACTCAATACCTAATGACTTTACCAAAAATCAAATTTTACAAATCAAAATTTCAATTATGACATTCACTCCGTATTTAAAATAAACCAGAAGCGGCTACGACTGATAAAAATATTGAAAAATAAAACTTTTTTTTTCTAGCTTCTTTCTGGCTATAAAAATATATGAAAAAGATTTTTGACTATAAATTTTTTTTAATTTTTATAACAATAAGGAGAAAAGGGATTCAAATTTAGCACTTTTGGGGAAATATGAATTTTTAATGGGGAGAGGGGGGGTTCAGTTCCAAAAATAAAAAATAGCGGCTGCGCGTAGCTCCTTTCACAATACACCCCTGCTTACAACTGTCAAAGATGTGTGGTTGATTCTAAAGCTAGACATCCACATCTATACAAATGTATAAGACACGAAAAAATTATAAAAATTATTCAAGGCCGATGTTCCTTCACATTTTGAACTTGAGATACTTCAGTTATAAATAATTCGCGACTTGATGGATCGACTTTTATCCATGGAATACTGTTAAACATGTATTAGAACTATATTTGCATAGACATTTCTGTCCCCTCCAGTAGTGATCCATTAGGAATCGCGGAAATAAGAAATTCCTATAAATATTCGCACTTAGCCGAAGACAAATTGCTCATTTAAGCGAAATCCCTAATCAACTCATCAGGCAATAGAGGCGAAACCCTTTTAATCAAACTCATCAGGCAAAAGATTTTTGATCAAACATAAATTTATCTTTGAAATCTTGCGTTACCTTATGTTATTTAAAGATTCCATACCAGAAGAGGATAATTTTTTTCGCTATATATATATTATATATTTATAGTGATTTTTTTATATATCTTTGTTTTAAATTCATTTTTATAAAAATTGATTATTATAAAAAAATATATATATTTACATCCTTTGTTGAATCTTTGTACTTTTGTTTAAGAGAGGTGGACTTAGATGCAACTGTAGATAACGCAACCCCATTTGCAAAAGAATATTTTCTCAAATAAAATTTCCACATTCTCTCTCCCTTCAGTATTATATTTAGTAAAATACAGTTGGTTTATAATTTATTTTAAAGAGTTTTATAAAATAATTAAATTACTATAAAATTGAAATAGTTTTTTTTATAAATTGTTTAAAAAATATATTAATTCGGTACCCGGAAGAACTGTCAAAACGATTTATAAATAATAGATTGACATCAACTAAAAAAATATTAGATTTTTTTGTTTCTTGAAATTTTTTTAATTAAAAAAAAGTTCTATCTATTTATATTTATAGACTTAACCTTTTTTTATAAATTTATTCATTTTCATACTGCTTTATAATTTAACAGAACAAAATGGACACTATTTAACATCCTTTTCCGACGAGGATAATACTAATTTTTCTCCCCTGATTCCTTCCTTGATCAACGCCGGAGCGCCATCTATAAATGGGACATTTATACCCCCACCTCCACCCCCGTCAATTTTATCGATCTCTATTTCGAAGCCAAAATCTGTAATAATATTTGTATTTATGATTTTTTTATTGTCAATAAAATTATTTTTTAAATATTTTATTTCTTATTAAGATACCTTCTTGGTGCCAAAATAATAATAAGCCAATGCCGTAAGCATAGAATAAAATGACCAATCGTGTTTTATATGCTCGACCCGTATTTTATTTCATACGTAAATTTTCAAAATACAAAATAAGTTAGAGATCTGCAAACTCGACCTGTCCGAAAACCAAGCCCGTTTAAAAAAAAAATTATAACGAGTCAAGCAATTCGCACGTAAAAAATCGGACAGATGTCGCAAATTTCTGATATTTTTATAAAATAGTAGATAACCCGGACATTAAAATTTTGATGTATTTTTTTGAATTTCAAGCTAATATATTGGTTTTGATTAATACTATTTAAAATAAATTATAATGTGCTTATTTATATTTAAAGAGCTATCTAACTAAAATACTAAATCTATAAATTAATAAATTCACAATGGTATGATTAAATTATGCTGCGATACGTTTTGAACTACTCAGCACAGTAATGGATACATCGACGAAGCCTCCTTTATTCCTGATCGAATGAAAGGAAAACAATTATAAAATAAGACTACTATATTTATATCTACTTCTCATGACTGAAATTCAAAATTGTGACTTTTTCCCCTTATATTTATTATGTTTTTTTGTTTTTTTGATGATTTTAGAACTCGAGATTGTGTATTGTTTTCATTCTTAGCATTTATTATGCTTTTGTATTAACAACAATAAAGATTATTGTTGTAGCCGTTAGAAAAAAAGGAGAAATAAATTTAATATAATATACAAAATGTCAGTCATTTTCTGATATGATAATTAATTTTCCTTGGGGTTGGGAGTTGAAAGGAGTGATCACCTGGGGCTTTGGTGAAGGACAACAGATGTTGCTTTGTGTCCTTTGGGTGCCTTTAGGGGGTGGAGAAGACATGAAGCTGGAATCAATTCATATTTTGTATAGTTTTTGATAATTATTATTATATTTGATGACTGTTTGGTATTATTAAATAGTTTATGATCTTAATTAGATATTATTGAATAAAGTGGACTTTTACAATTGTAAAAAGACATGGAAGCTGGAATCAATTCATATTTTGTATAGTTTTTGATAATTATTGTTATATTTGATGACTGTTTTGTATTATTAAATAGTTTATGATCTTAATTAGATATTATTGAATAAAGTGGACTTTTACAATTGGAAGCGTACAATTTGGACTTTTACAATTATAATACACAATATAGATTGCAATAGAGCAGAAATAAAACAGTCATATTACAGCCCAAACCGGATTTTTTTAAAATCTATTGTATATATTTTTAATTATTTTTATAGTAATGGCTATTAGATATTATTGAATAAAGTGGACTTTTACAATTAGAAGCGTACAATTTGGACTTTTACAATTATAATACACAATATAGATTGCAATAGAGCAGAGATAAAACAGTCATATTACAACCCAAACCGGATTTTTTTAAAATGTATTGTATATATTTTTAATTATTTTTATAGTAATGGCTATTTAAAATATTCGGTTTAAAAATATACCGCCCGGCCCGGATATTTTTTTTTAAAAGATTTTAGTCTCGGCCTGGGCTTTTTATTAAAAATTTTTTTAGGCCTGACCAGTGTATAATTAAAAAAAATTAAATTCGGCCCTACCCTGGCTTAGGGCAGGGAAGGAGGAATATTATTTATTAGGTTAAAACAATGATATATATATATCAAAGATCTGCAAAAGTCCGTTAATTTTCTTACTGACTTTCCAGCTCAATCCGTATTTTACGAAAAGAGTCCCGTCCCGGATCGGATTAATTTTTCTAGACGAATTTTCCGGCCTTCTCATTTTTGGCCAGCCCGGGTACACACTCTGGGCCGTATTTTAATTTTTTTATATATACCCTGGCTCTGCCTAGATTTTATTTAAATGCTCGGGTTGGGTCATATATATTAAAACCGAATATTTTAAATCGCCATTGTTAGCCGAAAAATTAAAAATAAATGCAAGATTTTAAAAAAAATCCGGGCCCGGGCGTTAAAAATTTTTTTAAAGAAAAATCGAGCCCAGTCGGGCCTGAAAATATAAAACCAAGGCCGGAGCCAAAATTTTTTTTAAAAAAAAATACAGGCCGGCGTTCAAATGATACCTCAGCAGGTCTCTGATATATACATAAATACAAAATTTAATGGATGTTGATAATATATAAGCAAACTGTTGACTTTTAAAAAGCGTACCACACTCAAAAATGCTCGACCTCTTATCATGTTTTTGTAAATTATATTATGATCTACCTTTTTATTCCATTTTTATTTAAATTACAAATTTAATGGTTCAGACAAATAACTTATGGTAAAATTAGATTTATTATGTTGAAAGAAATACTCGAAAGAAATTTCATAAATTTAAATATTAATCTTTAAACTATTAAAGACATAGACAATTAAAAATCCTGGACGTCTAAAATCAATCACAATGAGAGAAAATTAAATGTTTATGAAAAATTATATTGGATTATCAGCATTCCAATTCAATAGAAATTCACTCTAATGAATTCAAAGCTATTTACAAAAACTTCATTTCATACTTGTTTACATTAGAATAACAAGCGGCATGTTTATCTAAATAAACCCCATTAAAACATATGTGGTGTAATTATAAAGGGATAAGTAAGCAACGTTCAAGAACCAAAGATTCAATCAAATTTAAGAATGAAAATAATTGGAATTCCATATATATAAATTAATGTCAAATCCTAAATAGTTTTATGCTTCAAAGAATATCAGCAATTATTTATTCGAAAGGTAACGTAATTCAACTATAGAATAATTTTATATCAATTTCGATTAACATGTTAATTTTATATATTTTCTGATAAATATTATTAATAAAAATTTTAAAATGATGTTAATAGTAATACTTATATAAAAAAATTATAAGTTTTATTTATTTCATACATATTTTTTGGAATTTGAAGTTAGTTAAAGGTTAAAAATTAAAGATTGCCGAGTATTTAATGACATGAATTGCATCCAAATTTCTTCTAAATTTATTTTATGTAAAATGTATGCCGTATTTGGATATGGAATTCATGGGAATTTATAATCTTTCTATTTTAAATCTTTTACTGAGGGCGATTTTAATTTTAATTTAAGCAGAAATTTGAGGCACTTTTACAGTCTTAATTTATATGGATTTTTCTTATAAATTGGTGATCTAAAATTTTCGATATAGATTTAAAATTTAGATATTCCGATTCCCCATGAATTCCATATCCCAATGCGATATATACCAAAATTATTATTTAAACAAATTATATTTTAACATTTAACCTCAAAACATACTTCTCTTCGGCCATGGAGGATAATAGTCTTATTAACCACTACAAAACGATTCCTCTCAACTACCATAGGGACATTAAGGTTTTTTCTATAATGAATTTTTTAAAATAATGACTTCCTTAATTTAACCCACTAGCAATTTTAATAATAATTATTACCCCTAAAAAATATATTATCCAAATTAAGGATCCTGGCGGAAAAGGCGTTAATCGCTTCCGAGCTGTCACACAACGTAAGCGGGCTGAACAAAAATTGAACCGGGATTTGACCTCATCTTCGTCCATTACGAACCAATCGAATAACTCCTTGTTTTTCAAAAAATATTTTATGTTCCCTCGACGAAAATTTAGTTCAAATCATAAAATTGGCCGAGGTTTAATGCATTTTTCGGGTAATAACTGTAGCAATAACGCGCAAGGTAAAGATATCAAAAATGGAGGTGGTATGAGGTTAAAAAGCAAAAAACTATCTAACAAGAAAGCTATTACACTTAAAGGTTATAATGTGAACGTTTGAATTTATAGTTATTTAGATTTTAGAGATTATCTTCATCACTACTTTTTTTAAATATAAAAAACGTTAAATCATGGTTTTTTATATTTGATTTATGAAAAACTACAAATTTTTATCACTTATACTATTTCCTTATATCATCTTCCTATCATATAAGACAGTTTCTCAAAAATTATCTATCATTATTTTAATACTTTTTAAATATTAGACCACCCCTCCCAAAATCGTCACTTTCAGTTAGAAGACACTTTGGATCCGAGACTATTTTTAATACACTCCGAGGTGGGCAAACCACATCATAATAGCTTAGAATGCTTAGTTTCCATACCCGATAGCGATAATCTGTTGCCGCCCTCCAAAGAAAAATGTTTGAATAGAATCGAAGACAACTGTTTACCGCCAGCGCCGGCTAATTCTTGTGTCGATGAATTCTTGATTTATAGTATATCATGACTGAATAAATAACTATTTTCTGGCGATTTTAATAATGAGATTTTACTATATTAAATGAATAATTTATATTAGTGAAAGTAATGTTGAAAGTCGAGTTCACCCGACTCCGACTCAGAGTCTCTAGTCGAATTAGTCGACTAACTCAATGAACTCGAATCGACTCGAGTCGTGAACTCAAATCGACTAGAGGACAAATATTTTATGAACTTGAGTCGACTAGAGGACGAATATTTCAAATTACTTATAAATTAAGATATTTGTTCTATTTATATTTTTTTTTACTTTATAATTCCAACCTGAGTCATGAGTACGAATTATATACTTGAGTCGACTAGAGGACGGATTGTTCTATGAATTTGAGTCGTTAACCTGAGTCGACTAGAGGACGAATATTTCAGATTTATTATTATTAATTAAGATATTTATTCTGTTTTTTACATTTTTTTACTTACTAGAGGACGAATAGTTCAATGAACATGAGTCGTCAACTTGGAAAGAATATTTCAAATTTGTTATTAATTAAGATATTTATTCTGTTTTTTACATTTTTTTACTTACTAGAGGACGAATAGTTCAATGAACATGAGTCGTCAACTTGGAAAGAATATTTCAAATTTGTTATTAATTAAGATATTTGTTGTTTTTTATACCTTAGTCTTCCAACTTGAGTCGTGAATACCAATTATATACTTCATTATCTTATTCCTCAATCCTCATTTTATTTGATCAAATAAATTCTTATTTATATTTTTTGACTGAATACTAAATTCTCAAATAATAAAATATTTTGCAGGTATCTGAATAAAATTATATCTCAACCATTATTTGAATTTTATATAGGAAAGGCAGACTTCTGATAATAATAAAAACTATGAGATGGCGGGTTACTTTTCTTTAGCACTTCTCCTCATCTATATATATATATTTAATATTTTTATAGTTCTTCTTTTAGGTAATTATTTTATTTAGTCATTAATGGTTAATAACTATTAAAATATTTAAATAATATTAAATGTACTTGTCCAAGATTCATTTCTAAAATTAGAAAAATTAAAAATTTCAAAAAAAAAGAAAATAATTTCTAATATGAATTAAAGAAAAAATTAAATTGTAACTAGATAGAAAAATAAATACAACAAAATATTTTTATTTTATCAACCTCAACAAGTTATGTATTTTTGTTTATTTTTATTTAAAATTTTTTTATAAAAAAGAAATAATATATTAAAAATAATTGTTATAGTGAAACGAATGTTAATAATAAACTTAACAAAAAAAGGGGGTAAACATAATAAGATTAAAATTAAATATGGACAAATTAATTAAGAAGATAATCTTTGAAAAGAAATGTGTTGTAAAATAATTAATGTTATTTATTTTTATTATTAAAAAATTAAGTAAACTGTGTAATTGTTGATTTTTTGCAAGAAATAAATTATTAGATCATAAATAATATTATTAGATTGTAGTGGTCATAGTTCTTATCCACAAAGAATAAAACCAATATTATATAAGATAAGAATAATTATTTACTAAAGAGGGAATTTTTTTAATATTTTAATAGTTATTAACCATTAATGACTAAATAAATTATTATCTAAAAGAATGACTACAGAGGGACTATAAAAATACTAAATATATATTAAATACAGATGAGGAGGAGTGCTAAAGAAAATTCACCCGTCATAGCATAGGTTTGATTATTATAACAATAGTGATTTTTTTTTTCAGGTAATTATTTTCATAGATAGAAACATAATAATGAATATTGGAGAATAGCAATTAACTATTACAAAAATATAATATTATATACTGTATTTATTTCTAAATATAACAGCATTTTGATTCTTTTAAAATATCCTATTCCTAATTTCCACTCTATTTAGATTAAGACAAAAATTAATGTAATAAGGATATCCTCTAAAAAGCATATCGATGGTTATTACGCAGTAGCTCTTTTGGGGTGGGGGTAGGCGCTGAGCCCCTTGAAAAATTTGAAGTCATTTGCCCTCTAATATTTTTGAAATTTATAAATACCTTTAAAAATGGTCACCATGTTATTTTTTTTAAAAAATTCAGCTCCCTTAGATTGTAAAGGCTATTCCCACTGTTATTACGCTTTCTTTTATTAAAAAGTCCAGCAAATATCCAACACAACAGAATAGTGTCCCATAGTAGTGATCTGCATCGGGTTTAATTTTTCAAGCCCGGCCTGAAATTTTTTTCAAAAAGTTTTGCCGGCCCGGCCCGAATTTATTTAAATATAGAAATTAATTTTTATAATTACTCAAAATAAACGATATATGTTATATGACGTCTAGTTTCTATAAATAAAATCAAATATTTTTATTTTACATAAAAAATTCAACATAAAATTGATAAAATTAGATATATATAAAAAAAAATTTAAGGCCCGACCAGGCCCATATCTTTTTAAAAAATATTAGGCCCGATCCAGCCCGAACCCCATTTGGGCCGGGCTGGGTACGATCCGGGTCTACTTTTGCAGATCTCTATGCCATAGCTCAAAGGTTGAGAGATCTAGAAAAATAATCCGACCGCTGACTAGGCCTAATTTTAAAGCCACATGATAGACCTCATTAAATCATTAAATATTTATTTCGATTTATGTTAATCCATTTTTTTGAAAAAAAAATTTGAATATCTATTTTATGCTTTTTTAATATCCAAACTCAAATAATTTATATTTTCAAGTATCCAAATATGATATATATAAAATACATTAAATCCTTCACTCAGATTCAAAAATGATATTGGTTGATAAATATTTTCCAGAGATACACTACTCATGTTATCATAACTTTCATATAAATAAAAAACGATAATAAGTGACATCGGTACATCTTTAATATTTTTTAAACTGGGTTTGATTTGAGTTAACAATTTTTTTTAAACCTCAGATTTTTTACTCCAGTCCAGGTTCATTCAACCCTGTTCCTGAGTAATCGGAAAACTGCCTCCTAAATGTTAACTTAGTAGTTTGTTACAACCCGTTTCCTGGAAGGTATAAAAAGAGGTTCTGGTTTCTATAAATTTTAAGAGGAAATTTGGGTTGTTAGATTTAATTCTTTTTTGATACAAGTTCCAGACTCTAATTTATTACTATTACTAACTAACTATTTAAATTTTTATAAAATCAGAAAAATCAAGAGATTAAATAATGCGAATACATTTAAAAAAAAACTAATTATTTAAAAACCCAATTATTTATTTTGCCTCTAATTTATAGCTTAATGGGTCCATACTTTTTTTTATTACTTATGATTTTTTTTAAAAATTGTTAGATTTTAACCATCATCTTGACAACGATATACCTCTCTTGCTGCGTGAAGAAAATATCGAACTTTCTTTGAACAATCATAGTCATTACATTTCGAACCAATATCCTACCTCTCACACACCTCCAGCTCCTCCTTCTTCTTTCTGTTCCTATACTCACGGTACCAAAAAAGTTTGATTAAATTTATCCTTTAGTTTATAGGACAGCAGATATATGCCCTTGGTTGTTCCTTTTTTACAAATTAAATTGTTAACTTGAGTTAAAAATAATTTGTTTCCCAGATATTTAAAATGAAACTATATCAAAATAGATTTGATATTATAATTATATTATTTATGCAATACATTTTTTTTGATATTATTGTATGATATTCACTCATATATGAAAATAACGTTGCCCACTTTTGACATCAAACTTAATATAATGAAAACAAGTATTTTTGATTTTTTAAAAATATATTTGTATTTATTATCTTGAGAACTTCCATGATAACAATGAAATTTTATAGTTATTTTTTTAAAATTGCACTTTAAATTTAGCATAAATTAGAACTTGCACTGTTTTGTTGATAATATTTATATTGTAATCGCGTTACGTCATAATAACTCTTAATAATTTCATATTTGATCCATTTTTTTAAAGTATATTATATTTAACATAAAATAAATGAATAAAAAATCAATTCTACGATATATAATCGCGAATTTCTTGCTTATTTATATTCGTCAATCAAATAATTATGATTTTCAAAGAATTGTTGGATATGATATAAAGGACTTGTTTATTTTTATTTGTTAATCAAAGAATTGTTGGTAACGGACTTTTTTATTTTTATCACAAAGAATTAATAATAATAATTGATTAATGCCACATTCTATCATTTATTACCTGGCAAACTGAACCAATGAGCTAGGCGTGAAACCATTTATTTTACTGAGCCGCACCACCTCACTTGAAGATTATTTTCAAAATGATGGTAGCGCATATATTATATACATATTTATTAACCATTATGTAGTATCAAATGGCGTTACTAAGGTTAGTGCAGGGGCGAGCCTCCTGCAAAATTTGAAGAGCCCCCTGCAAATTTTTATTATTTTTTTTAGAAGATATCAGATTTGTTAAAAGTGGTGTTATAAAGTAAAGTGGTTACTTTTTTAATGGAAAGAAACGTCATTCGTTACCTTCTTCTAGAAGTAACGGTAACGGGTTTCCTTTTTATAGTAACGGTAACGCAAAACGTTACTCCTTACTTCAAATTTTTCTTAAAAAATATGGAAAAAACATATTTTATTGTTATTAATTTTTTTAAATTTTTTTTTAAAATTTATTAAATTATAAGCCGAGTTTTTAATTCACATCAATCACTAAATTCTAATTAAATTTTCAGTCAATATTGTTAATCTTATTAATATTGAATCAATCAATGTATGTAAATTTATATTCTTATTAATATTTTAACTTATTTTATAAAGAATATGTTAATTGTACATTTTCTTCAGATGAAGATGAGTAAAGCTTGCTTTGGCTTTATTATGAAACATTTATACACCAATGAAGTAAACTAATTATACTTTGCAAGTGTAAATTGTGTCCCAACCCAAATATTTTAACCTAAATTGTAGAATAAACATGGGCATCCTCCAAACTGTGAAGCCATTTTTAAAGAAAAAAATGGGATATCTGATTCTGGGTATAAAATATGAAATCTTTCTATAACTCCGTGAAATTAATATAGTCTTAGAATGGCCACAAATTTGACGAATATTGTGATAAATTCAAATTACAGAGATTTTCTGATAATGACAAGTCGTTCATAGATGATTGTATGGCTATTTTTGGTTTTAGAGAGAGAAGAAAAAAATGCATTTGGGAAATCTCACTCCCACAATAACTAGTATAATATTTAAAAAATGGCTTTAAATAATATCATTTTATTAGCCATGCAATTCTAGACGAAAATAAAAGGTATATTTTATATTTTGATAATATTTTATTTCAATGAATATATATATTATCAGCAATATTCACCAGCTATTTAAATCATATTGGCTCTCGTAAAACTAGATGCCAGCCGAAGGAGTTTGAACTTATTTCCTGTTTGGGAAAAGTTATTGACAAAGAAAAGTAAGACTTGATATCTTTAAAAAACAGCACACGTACAGATTAATTTCTAATAAAGATATTTAAAAAATTGGGTGAGTTAATGAAGATTTTATTGACGATGAACTAATCTTTTTTCAAAATAAAAATTATTCTTTAAGTTTTAAGAAATTCCCACAATTAAAATTTTTATTTCTCTACCCCAGTTGAACATGTGTTTAGCATAGCGAAAGCTGTGTTTAGATCTGATCAAAATTTTAAAATTGTTGTTAAAAATATAAAAATATATAAACCCTAAACTATGAACTCTTTTTTTTTAATGTAGGGTTCAGGGTTCAAGAATTTAAAAAAATTTATTTTATATTTTTATTTATTTTAATTTTTTTATTAAAATTTATTTCATTTTAATTTTTTAAATTATAAAAAAAATAGAACAGGGGTAGGTCTATAAGTCGAAAGGCTTGGTAATACGAAAGGCTAAAAAATAATATTGAAAATAAAATAACAAAGAAAATGTTTAATGAGATATTTGATTGATTTATTGCTTTTTTAGAGAAAAAATATTATAATAACATTACATTATAATATATTAAAAATATAGAAATTTTAAGATCTTTTCAATTTTTTTATTAATTCTTTGAAATGATTTGCGGTTTAATTAAAATAATATTTGGTTATGATTTTATTTTATATATTAAGTAAGTATAAATATATTGTAATTACTTGATAAAGAAGTAAATGAGAAACATAAATTTTTTAAGGTATTTTTGATTTGAGAAAGCATTTAAGAGGGGAAAGGCTAACATCTTAAACGTAATTTTGAATATTATATCATTAAACTCAGAAACCGCTTAGATGTATTTTTTTACGTTTCCGGTTCACAAAATAAATATTTTGTCGCGAAAGACTTTTATAGGGGAAAGGCTAACATCTTAAACATAATTTTGAATATATTTATATCATTGAACTCAGAATTTAATTCTCTATCCAAAACCGCTTAGATGTATTTTTTACGTTTCCGGTTCACAAAATAAATTTTTTGTGGCGAAAGACATTTATAGGGGAAAGGCTAACATCTTAAACATAATTTTGAATATAATTATATTATTAAACTCAGAATTTAACCGCTTAGATGTATTTTTTTACGTTTCCGGTTCATAAAATAATTTTTTTGTCGTGAAAGACATTTATAGGGGAAAAACTAACATTTTAAAAGTAATTTTGAATATATTTATATCATTGAACTCAGAATTTAATTCTCCATCCAAAACCGCTTAGATGTTTTTTTTTACGTTTCCGGTTCACAAAATAAATTTTTTGTCGCGAAAGACATTTATAGGGGAAAGGCTAACATTTTAAAAGTAATTTTGAATATATTTATATCATTGAACTCAGAATTATATTCTCTATCCAAAACCTCTTAGATGTATTTTTTTACGTTTCCGGTTTACAAAATAAATTTTTTGTCGCGAAAGACATTTTGAACCGGAAACGTAAAAAAATACATCTAAGCGGTTTTGGGTAGAGAATTAAATTCTGAGTTCAATGATATAAATATATTCAAAATTACATTTAAGATGTTAGCCTTTCCCCTATAAATGTCTTTCGCGACAAAAAATTTATTTTATGAACCAGAAACGTAAAAAAATACATCTAAACGGTTTTGGATAGAGAATTAAATTCTGAGTTCAATGATATATATTCAAAATTACTCTTAAAATGTTAGCCTTTCCCCTATAAATGTCTTTCGCTACAAAAAAATTATTTTGTGAACCGTAAACGTAAAAAAATACATCTAAGCGGTTTTGGATAGAGAATCAAATTCTGAGTTCAATGATATAATTATATTCAAAATTACGTTTAAGATGATAGTCTTTCCCCTATAAATTTCTTTCGCGACAAAATATTTATTTTGTTAACCGGAAACGTAAAAAAATACATCTAAGCGGTTTTGGATAGAGAATCAAATTCTGAATTCAATGATATAATTATATTCAAAATTACGTTTAAGATGTTAGCCTTTCCCCATTAAAATGCTTTCGCAACATAAAAATTATTTTGTGAACTGGAAACGTAAAAAAATACATCTAAGCGGTTTTGGATAGAGAATTAAATTCTGAGTTCAATGATATAATTATATTCAAAATTACGTTTAAGATGTTAGCCTTTCCCCTCTTAAATGCTTTCTCGAATTAAAAATACCTTAAAAAATTTATGTTTCTTATTTACTTCTTTATCAAGTAATTACAATATATTTATACTTACTTAATATATAAAATCATAACCAAATATTAATTTAATTAAATATATTAATTAATTAATATAATAAAATTAATTTTTAAAAACCGCAAATTATTTCAAAGAATTAATAAAAAAATTGAAAAGATTTTAAAATTTCCATATTTTTAATATATTATAATGTAATGCTATTATAATATTTTTTCTCTAAAAAAGCAATAAATCAATCAAATATCTCATTAAACATTTTCTTTGTTATTTTTATTTTCAATATTACTTTTTAGCCTTTCGTATTACCAAGCCTTTCAACTTATAGACCTTGCGATAGAACAGCAATAAAAAAATAACATCTAAAATATTATAAAAAACATTAAATATTTAAAACATATTGTTTTTTTATTTTCAATATAAAAACATTACATTCATTTTTCTTGGAATCGTTTTTTTTATATTAGTGTATCCATTTAAGTAAATTAAAATTTTTCTGAACACCAAACCCTGAACTCGAATCGGGTTCAGAGATTTTACCGGACCCGAACAAGAACCCTATTTTTAGAAGGAGGGTTCACAGTCCCGATATTTTACCTAATTTTATTTATATTATACATAGGGGGGGGATTATTTAAGCAACGAGCAACCCGTTACTTTTTTGAATAACCAGAAACGCGCGTTTCTTTTTTGAAGCAACGTTACAGTACTAGTTAAAAGATATTTCAAATGGATCAAGATGTCTGTCTAGTTAAATACATTGTTAAACGTATCTAGATGTTTATACATTTTTTATATCAAAATGCTGATATAAATTATATTATACTTAGTAAGGTGTGCATAATTCTTAATTTAGGATTTATTGTTAAAATTCAAATTTCGAAGTGATATTGAGTTGATATCACATCTATATGCAAATATATAATTAAAATAATGATTTTTAGATTTTAATAATTCGTATACAAAATTTTTATTATTAAGGGAAGCCCATTTATCTGTAAAACATTTTTAGCTATACTAAAAATTTTCTACTGGGTCACTTGACGGCAGTTAGGCAGAATGGTTGTTATATTCAATAATAACTTTATATTGGTATATCACTAAATATATTAAAATCTACTCTTTTCAAAGAATTATTCAAAATTTGATGTGTGCCAGAATTTATTAAATTATTTGATTTCTTTTCAGAGATTGTCTAGAAATATTGATCTAAAAATTATGATATAATTTTTTAAATTAATATTAATTAAATAAAT